TTAGGCTTCTTCCAACACCAATAGCTCCATGTTTTCTCAGCTTTTGTGCATCTGGCCACCCCCACCTAAAATGGTGAAACATTTCTACTAAGGCAATAATAAATGATATTTTGGGGGGGGGCTTGGCCCCACCCCTTTTGCCGCACCCACCACTTGACTGCAGCCTTGAGATCTTCTCTGAGATGGAACTGAGCCATCATGCTGAGAGAAGGGATTCTGCACCCCTTCTTTAAGTTGCCCCATGCAGATGAACAGCTGCTATTCATTCCTACAGAAGAAAGACAAGCAATGAGAGCAGCACTGTCATACTGGCAACTTGGGGGAAGCAGTGCCCTTCCTTCTGTTCCAGGGGCATCTCCAGAACTGCCTGAGGTGATGATCTTATTGGTGAGATTCCCATACAGCAACAACAACCAGGACTCAAATTCATTGGAAGGAGGGAAGCAATGCAGTTGCCTGGTTGGGAGGCAAGATTCCCTCATCTTCTGAAGATCACAGGGACTCATTCCATTGTGGGGGTAAACTGTCTGGTTTTGAAAATAGGGCTGAACTTGCCTTATCCTAGTTAGGGGCTGTCCAGGTAGAGAAAAGTCTAAATCACTATCATAGCAGAGCTTGAGGAAAAAGATCAAGGAAAGAGAAGGGGCAAGAGTTGAGTATTTCTTGGAATACTTCTTGAGTGAGGTACTGCAGCAAGGAGTGGCTGGAAAGCATAAATGTAAGAAGAGCAAGAGGCAGAATCTCTTCTACTGATTGGGCAGGAAGAATGTTTCTATGGGTACATCACTAACTGAATCCGCAAGCCTCTTCTTGCCACAAAGCCTAATATTGGAAATGTCTGGGTTGGATCCAATAGGACTGTTCTCTTGACAGATGTGCTTTCAAAGCCAGGCAGGGTGTGATTTCCCCTTCACATACTCATGCTGGGAAATCCTGTGGAATATGTTTTGGTGGCCTGGAGGACTGCAGAGAGAAGGAAAGAGAGGCGAGAAGTTCCATCTTTCCTGCTAGGAATGAAGAGGGTTCTGTGATAACATAAAATGCAGGTTAGAGGAAGCCTCAAACTCTAATCCCTGCACATTGAAGTGAATCCAGAGCTAGATAGTTCCCAACAGTTGTATGTCTAGTCTCTGCTTGAAGACCAAGGGAGGACTGGTCCACCCGAATCCATCTCCAGGTCCTGGGTTCCATTGTTGGACTGCTCTTATGGTTATGAATATCTCTTAATATTGAACCAAATCTACTCTCCTATAATTTAAACCCATTAGATTTAGTCCTGCTTTTTGGAGCAGCAGGACAGTGTTACTGCCCTCCTGCTGCCAAAATACCTGATTCTAAACTACCAATAAGCCCAACAGATCTTCTGCAGAAAATGAATATCTGGATGTTTTCAGACAGAAAATGGATCCAAGCCAAATATAATCAGGGGATAAGATCTATAAACAAAGATATGCAAAAAAGAGGGGTGCGATTGGCACCCCTTTCCTCCAAGCTCAGATAAAATGAACAAAGTTTGCAATGGCAATGCATGATGAGGCTCTAGGTAACAAAGAATGCAGAGTCTTCTTACATGCTGATTTTAAAAAAAGTCTTCTACTTGAGCCCAGGAAAAAAAGAACTGGGCTCAAGTAGAAAGTTTTATTGCTCACTATACTTCTGATACCCAGAATAAATAGGATGCATGAATTAGGGTAGATCCAAGCAGTCTAGAGTAGCCTGCCAACAATTGGACAGAGAATCTCCTAAGGTCCAACTGACCTTGGCGGTTTTGCTGCAGTTGTGCTTTGATGTGGATAAACTGACCCTGAACAAATTCTCCAATGTAGCTCACACAAAGCAAAGTTTTGTTTGCCACAGCATACTTCACAGCAGCCATCTACTAATATGAACTAATGCAGCTTTCTCCAACTTGATATCCTCCAGACAGGTTGGACTAAAACTTGCAGCACTGCTGGCTGGGGTTTAAAGCCCAACCTATCTAAACGGCACCAAGCTGAGAAAGACTGAACTAATTCCTGCATAGTCTCTCCCACAGTGTCTTTTAGGAGCATGAATAGAGTATGATTGGCAGACAGTGGGTCAGGCAGCAAGAATTCCTGAGGCTGTTTCCTGAGGGCCAGGCTTGTTCATGAAGGACAATTTTGTCAAGGCCCCAGAATCTGTGGAAATTCAGGCAGATCAGGGTAACTGTGGTTGGATGCCTGCTGAGGGCCTATAACCCAGCAGGAATCCACTGATAAGACCCCCCTCCCAAACTTATTATATTTATATCCCACCTTTTTTTCTTCCAAGGAACTCAAGGCAGCTTACATAATTCTCCTCCTTGCAATCTTATCCTCACAACAGCAACCCTGTGAGGTAGGTTGGATTGACAGTCCACGACTGGCTCAAAGTCACCCAGTGAGCTCCATCGCCAGGTCGGGACTAGAACCCAGATCTCCTGAGTCGCAGCCCAGCATTCTTAACCACTACATCACCCTGGTTTGCTCTTCCTCTTGACTTGCAACCTGCTTGTTCACCTGCCTCTCACTCTATCCCAGACAATGGTGGTACTGGGAAGGATAAGCGGTAGGTGCCACTGCCCCTCTGCCCAATAAGCAAGCAAGTGGTAGCAATGAGGAGGAAGAGGGAGAGAAAAGGCAGCTGGCAGCAATGGTGGAAAAAAGGTGGATTCACTGAGAGTGGAAGGATTGAGGGTAGCTTGCCACACTGTTTTCCCATTCTGTCCACCCATCCTGGGTCATCAACCTGAGATCTCCAAAGAAGCTGAGGAAAGCCAAAATGAACAGCGGCACAGTCTGCCCCATCTCCCAAGGGACACTGGACCAGATTGAAATAGCTAAATTCTTCCTTAACTGGAACAATTAGTTCCAGAACTAATTGGGTACATTGGCTGCTTTTTCCCTGTTAGCTGTTCTCTTTTGCTAGTATTAGTGCTGATTAAAGATTATGAGGCTCAAACCACAATTTAAAACCCACATACCCCTGTAACCAATATACCATACACTGGAAGTGGGCAGGATAATGAGCTGTTTCTACTTACAACTTTTTGTACACCACCTTGGAAGATATATTTATTTCACAGTTATTTCCAACTTTATGTAAGGTAGATCAAGCAGAGATGGTGACAGGCCCAAGGCACCAAGCAAGGTTCATGGCTGAGTGGCAACTCCAAGTTCAACTCTAACCATGAAAAATCATGCAGGGAATGATCTTATGGCCCTTGGACATCATCTGAGGGGTTGCAGAAAAGTCTGGATTGTCAGTTCTGAGTCTGGAGACAACACTCCAATCTCAGAGCTGGGAATTGGATCTGTGACGCTTTCCCACAGGCACAGAAGCTAATCGTTTAATAGAGAGAAGGGCATGCTACCTTCCAATACCAATTTTGAGTTCAAAATAGCGGTTTAGTATTTTAAAGCTCCAACCCCACCTCTGCCTTGAACTTAAATGCTTGCACAAGTTACCATTGTTTTAGTCTTCCTAATCTTCCTTCTGGGAAATTTGTGCTTTCTGCCTGGCTAAGCCCATCACAGCAACCGTTTTGTGAGACGACACTCTCTCAAAATTCCGAATGTGCCTACACCAACTCACAAGGGTTGGCTCTGTCTGGGCTACACAAATACAACTGTATACAGACAGCATTGTGAATAGGAGAGAACTGGATACATGCAAAAGTTAAAACGAAGCCAAAGAAGTCAACAGTAAATATGACATGCTTTCCTCCCACGGTGGAGAAAGCTTTTCAGGCTTTTCTAGGGCCACTAAATGGCATCTGTTGAGTGGGTCTCAGGGCTGTAGAGATAACTCATGAGATTCAGGAAGAGCAAGACAGGTGGGTGGGAGGAGCCAAAGACAGAACAGGGAATGGGTCTGACATTTGAAAGTTTAGCAACGTTTTACATGTCGTTCTCCTGATCAGTTTGTTCTCCCACTTGACTAAATCAACCCCACAAGGAATACGCACATGAATGTCAAAGGAAGGCAAGCAGTTTTAGGGGAACATGTACATTATTGATGCCTGCCTAACACACTCCTTCTAGTCGTGTTTTAAGATAAGCAAATGTGCATGCAGGCAATACACACACAAATGTTCACATTAATAATCCAAAACCTGAGTTACTCATAAGCATTTGATTTGCAAATCCACAAAGGCCACCTGCTCCTTCTAGAGCTACCCGAGTAAGCAACACACACGCCAGCCTTTGACGTTCTGATTTTTAGAAGTAAATTATTGTGCATGTTGTATACACAGAGTCCTGAATGCATTATAATCATTCTTATTGCCTCGGATCCACTGGAAGCACAGAAAGGGCAGATTTAAAGAAGAACGAACACACGCTCAGAAATAAGTCTGCCCAGTCGACTTACTCCTAAATAAATACAGCGAGATTGTAGTCCTTTGCACCTAAATAAGCCTACGAGTCCACAAACCTTTATCTCCATTCATTCTTAACTTTAGGTGCCTTCCAAGATAAAACCGTAACACTAGATCGGCGTACACCAGAACTATGGCGATCCGAGTGTATTTGAGTCTGTTGGGAACTGTTTCCACGTTTAGATTAATAGCAACAACTTGTATTTGTTTTAAGAGATTTATATCTCCCATACTTGTACCTCATTTACCGCCCAGTTCTACGCAGATTTTCCCACAAGTAAGTTCTACCGGACTGCCATAACTAAGTTCTACCGGGCACATGGCAATTTACTTTCCAGTAAGCGAGTGTGGGGACCTAACCTTCCATCTTTTACCTTCCTGCATGCTGTTAAGTTTGCAGCATAAATTCTATTAGCAAGATCTAAAGGTTACTTGAAAAGCACTCAAGGCTAAAGTTTGGTCTCCACGCTCCTCGCCCGCGCCGCTGCAATCCAGTTCACTTTTCCAGTGTCGCCTCGCGCTTCCTCGCGCTGCTGCTGCAAACTTCCAGAGGCATCGGCGCAAAAGCGATGGGGAAAGAAAACGCACAGCTCCAGGCGCACGAGCGCAACCACTGCCTTACCTGGCCGCGAAGAACAACCCCAGAAACATCCGCAAAGCCTTCCCACTCGTACGGCAGGCAAGGATGCCAAATTATTCCTTCCTCCGCCAACAGCATAAAAATAGCAGCGATTCTTCAGCGAGAAGCCGCCGCCTCCACCAAAGCGTTCGGGCCGGCCGTGCCGTGACTAATATTTACCCACCGAAAACCTGGGCGAAGTACAGTTGGTACCTCTGGCGCTTTTCAATGGATTCGGAGCGCTCCGGGCGCCTCGGTGTTTTCGCAGCAACCTCCCCACCAATCAGCGGCGCCGGAGCCGACCTCTCCTCCCTCTTTCGCCTGCAGCCTCGCTCGCCTCCTTCGGAGGAGGGCGGAGCTGGTGTAAAGGCGGGGAGCGAGCACGTTTCTTCTTCTTCATCCCCCTCCGTATCGTCGTCGGGCTGGAAGCATCGGGCCTGCGCTTCCTCCCCGCAAACAGATACGAGATCCTGTGACGGCCTCGTTGACGCGCAGCCAAAGCGTGAAATGCGTGTTTGAGACTGGCCTTCCTCCATCCGTTGGGAGTGGTAACTATGGATCCCAGCATCCTCAGTCATCCCTGGCTGTGAGGGGGATGAGAACTGTAATCCAGCCCTTCTGCAGGGCGCCAGCTTGGGAAAGGCTGATCTTGCAGCTCTATCTTCTTTTCGTGTTTACTCGAGTAGGCGTGGGATGGTAAAAGCCACTTTCTCATTCCCTACACTAGGTCCCAATCCCGATGTGGCGGCGGAGGCTGTGCTTAAGCAAATGAAAAGGGAAGGAAAAAGACCTCCCTGCTAAATACACAAATCAAGTCCTGACTGTTTTGGCCCACAGTAACATCATAACCCAGCACTTTTTCTTTGCCAGGAGTTTCTGTAATAAAAGTATCTAACAATGGATTGTGAACAATGGAGTGCATTGGAAAAAGTGGAATTATGCCCTTTTAAATAGAGAAAGGGGAATATAGCTGATATTTTGGGGGTAACAGGGAATGTAGGGTTCTTCTAGCTCTCTCATGTTTTCTGCAGGAGTAATAGATCTCTTAGTCATTCTCTACCCTATTTAGGTTCAAGAGGTGCTCAAGTGTGGTCACCCTTAGTAACACCCCACCCTACAAATTGTATAGCAAAAAGTCATCACATCATGTATGAAAGCAAATGATAGATTGAATACAAATAGGAATAGTCAGAGCTTCAATGCATCTCCTACTCATTAAAATAATATACAATAAATTATTTAGAGGAGTTATATAACAGAATCTTGGATATTCAAAGAGTTCAGCATCAACTGTAGATCTAGAGACTACTATATTGCATTTATATCCCAATTTTCCTCTTGAGGACTGCAAGGTGCCTTACAAGGTTTTCCTCCACTCCATTTTCATCCTCACAGTAACCCTGTGAGGTAGGGGAGTCTGGGTGTGGGTGACTGGCCCAAATAAACCCATGGCTAACCAAGGACTAGAATCCAGATAACCCAGTTCCCCAGTTCAATACTCACCACCACACCACACTGGCTTTTCTGTTACACAGAGGAAAAGAAAGAAAAAAAAAAACCACCAAAAAAAAGCCTATCTGATTCAGGGGGAAAATACATTTTCCACACTAAAATCTTGCTCAGATAGCTGTTGATGAAACTCAGTTTTGTTATTTGAGTTTTTCCAAAAGCACATACTCAAGATCACTTAAGGAAGATTACATGTTTCCTAATATCCTTTATCCCCATTTCTATTCACAGTCAGGATGAAGGGTGGGTTTCCATGCCTTTTTTGTGCCTCTCTACATGTTACTGTTAGTAAGTGCAAAACGAGAAGTGTATTGTTCTTGACTGCAATCTTGACTGCAAGAAAACAGAAGGTCCTTGAGAAAATACCTTGCTGCTCCACCTTCCTCTTCATTGTTTGGACAACTTTGGCCCAGATGTAATTTGCAGATTTAAACAGAATAGTCACCTGGACATATTTCTCATTTGGGCTGGGAGGGGCCTGTAGAATCTCACAGTGATGCTGGGTGCTGGAAGAGTTGATCCAGTTTTGAATGCGTGGCATGTGAATGCAGGCATTCAGGGTAAATTTTGCTTGCTTTATTTAAGAGATCTATGCCCTTTGAAACGAAGGACATAAGGCAGATAGCCACCCTTGAATGCACAAGGTTGGAAAGTGGAAACAGCATTAATATGTGCACTGTGTTTTGCTTATGTACCCTGGTCATTTTTTGCCGGAGCAGATAACCCAGCAGAAAAAACCACCCAAATGCAGCAGTAGTCGTGCTGGCAGGCTTTTGCAAGGAGAGGACATTTTCTTATATTAAAATGGGTGGCAAATTTCACTCTTAGGCATGTTGTTCTCACCTTCCATCCACCTGTTGACCAAATGCATAGAGGGAAAATAAGGTGCCAGCCCTGCCTGTGTATTCAGGGTTTGTGATCTTTTATGCAGAGCTGATATGGGTAAAACCCTGTTCTTATCTTTCAGTGAATGTGCAGAGGCCAGGAATGGGGTCCCAAATGCATTCCCACTCCCCATTCATATGTCCAGCCAATACAAAAACTCAACCACTGATTACTTGGTAGCTTTCCGACACTGGTACTTTTCCTCCATTGTAAAAGGTGGAAATTATATTTTTAACAAATTACTCGGATTTATAAACTGCTTTCCTTGTAGGTATCAAAGTGGCACCAAAGTGGGGTGGGGGGGTGTGAGGAATCCACCTGGGGTTGGGAATCCATCAGGTTCCCTGGGATCATCTCCCTGGACTCAAGAGGCCCAGAGTCTGAGTTCCCGGCTGGGAATTGAGCCCCATGCCCTCTGCAAGGAGCACCCTGCTCCCTTGTGGCAGAAGTCACTCCATTGCAGGCTGCTCCTGGCACCCAAGAAGACTGGTTGCAGGAGACTGGCCAGGAAAGCAGCCCCCCACCCCAATTGCCAGCAGTGCCTCCTTGCATGCCCTCAAGGAAACACTGGGATAGCTGTAGGGTGCAGGGGCTTAAGCACTGCAAGGCATGTAATCTCTGCCATTCAATATGGATACTCTTGTTTGCACTTCTAAACATCTTTATCAGTCAGAACATTCTGTCCACTTTTCAACAGCACAGCAGTCATCCTTCCCCCCTCCCCTTGCTGGATACATTCATCTGCCGTAAAGTTATGCAAGCAGTTGCTGTGAATGAAGTCCTGAGATTATACACTGGTATTCAGACCAGTTTCGGGGTTAGACTTTATTTACCTATTTTTACATTAATATGTTGCTGATGGGCCTCTTGCAAGGAACCCAAGGCAGTTTATGTAGCCCTCTTGCTCTCTATGTTATTCTCACAACACCCCTGTGAGGTAGGTTAAGCTGAGAGTCAGTGACTGCCACAAGTCACCTGGTGAGTTTCATGGTTTTAGCTGGTGTTAAGGGATGGCTTACTAGCATTAGAGCCCCAAATCTCTATGAGCCCACCTGCTGCATCACCTGGCTGAGCATGGATGTGCTGAAGTAAGCAGTGCTGATGTTCTCTGCTACACCTGAGTCCCAAGGTGAGTTGGCTTTTTGCCCACAGGTGAGTCACCTTCTGTCTGCATCCCTTGAGTTTTTCTGCCTTGGGTTTTCTTTTTAAATGAAATCCCCTCCTCTCCCCTGTCTGTTCATCCCTTCTTACAAAGAGGGGTGTCCTTAGAAATCAAGATCCTTGAAAGCCACACATGCATGCACAAATACATACACAAAGAGAGAAAGACTGTGAAGCATGTATAAATCAGCATTTACACATTTGTGCAGGTTTCATTTATTTTGGCCCTGGGGACAAAATGTCTAGCAACAACCCTGTTCCTGGTTGAGTGGGGAATATAGCCTGTATCGCTCAAGTCTCAGGCCAGCACGGTATAACTCTTAACCACTGCACCACACTGGTCTTCATGCTGGATTAAAGCTGCAATCCTCTATACAACATGTTGTGTGTGTTTGCTGATGATGGATGCAGTGAGTAATTGCAGCAAATACCTTTTAGCAGTCAACAGTAGGGAAAGCAGATGAAAACCTGAGCTATGAGTCAGAAAGTTCCTTTTTGTCTATGGCCTGTGAAAGTATGTTAAGTAGACTGTTCTGCCTTCATGCCCCTTTGTCCACTCAGTCTGTAAAATGGGAATAATACAAGACTTGCCTTACAGGCCTTTCGTAAAGATTACTGAGATCATGTATGTGAAGCTCTTAAATGCTCTGAAGTCTTATGCAAACATATATAAGTATAATTATTGCAAATTCATAATCTTCCTTTCGTCCAGCCTAAAACAACAACACATGGGCTAGCCAATGTTAATCACGTCCAATTTCCACTGATGTCAAGGAAAAAGACCAAGAATTGGTGTAGTACAATGGCTAATGACCCAGGACATCCTGGTTTGAATCTTACCTTTTACTTGAACTGTTTGGGTGGCCCTAGCCAAGCATTTCTCAATCTGTCTACAATATGGAAATATCAAACTTACAAGGTTATTATACAAATTGAAAGACAATGTCTGTGAAGAACTGAAAACTTTCTAAAAGTGCTGCATACATTTGTATGAAGTCGCGCTGTCTACCTTCAATTACAGTGAACTTGCATTCAATTTAACAGGAGAATTAGCACATTTAAATCTCTCCCACTGAAACCAACGGGATCTAAAAGTGATTAACTTTGGTTGGGTCATGAAGTTCAAATGTGCTTAACTCTTGTTAGGAACTGCCATTTTTTAAAAACAAAACCAATGTTTCTGTTTCCCATAAAACCGATACAGTTTCATTGAGCCAACACAGACAACATCCGCCTTAGAAATATTTTAAAAGATGCTACTAGGTCTGTTTAACATACCATTCCTAGCAAAAAATACATACCGGGCTTATGCTCAGTATTAGCTTTGCTTATCTAGAGCAGGTTCCAACCAAAACATTATACTTATGATTGTTTAACTTCTCCTTACGAACACTGTAGAATGTGTGCCTTGGAAATAACATGATGAAACTATTTCATTCCCAGCATTATGCTGAATACCAAGACACCAGTAAAAATCTACTCACTGAGTCATAGAAAACTTCACTGTCACTTTAGAAACAAAAGGTCTGTGTGTGTGTGTGTGAGAGGGAGAGAGAGAGGGAGAGAGGGAGGGAGGGAGGGAGGGGGAACAATTTGTAATTTGCATGACTGAAATTTCTTATAAAATTATG